AGTTAATAGTTTAAATATTATCATCGCCGGCACATTCTCGATTCTGGCAAAATATCTTGGCGCCAAGGCATCCGGATACTTGTGAAAATCGGTAGTACCTGCACAGTACTCAGCTTATCAAGCCTTTCCAAGGCGCTATCATACCCAATTTGGCAAGGTGATGTTGTGTGGCTGTCTTGGCAGTGCAGTGGTTTACGGTATGTGCTTGCCGTTTTCAAAAGTACTCGAGTATCGGGAAATCTGGCAACTGGCTTGGCAGCAAGGACAGCCGCACTATTCCTCCATTGGGTGCAGAGTGAGTAGAAAAATGGGGGAGAGAAGGTCTGACAGTGCTCCTCGAGCATTTGCACTGCTCCACCGTGTTTATTCTTCCAATCGAACGATGGCCGCCAGGCCGAGCCCGGTTTCCGGATACCCTTGAAAACGGCAAGTAGCACAAGCCCTATTTTCGGATACTTCCTCCATCGCCGGACACAAGGTGCAGGGGGAAATTGCTGTGAGTTACACAGCCCTGTTTGGAAACTTCAAGGAATGGTTGGACCTGATCCCGGTCAAGGTGAATGGATGGGACGGGGGGTGGAGAGTTGGGGACGGTCGGAACGGAGGGGCCAAGGTCCAGCTTGGATGCGGATGCTGGAGAGATATCAATAGCTTGCATCCGGCGGATTCCATCAACTTGATCTGTTACTGGCTTGCCCGCACTCTCTTTGCACGCCACACTCACTCCCCTGCTCTACCTTTTTGCCGGTACTGCCTGCATCCATTCCCTTGGATCGCTTCCCCTCTGTCCGCACGGTCGCCGGCATCATCACCACCAGCAGCAGAAGCAATCACCGCATCCAACTTCCACTGCCTTTCATTCCTTCTTCTCGTGACATTCGTTCCTGCTCCCCCCCTCCCCTCGTTCACTTACCCTATCTCATTCGCTGCGATAATAGTCTTTCTCGTCCCAATCCACCTGCCTGTCATCCCATCACCTCCTTCATCCTTCTTCATTCCTTAGCACCCCGGAATACCGCTGCTGCTCCATCGTGCCGCAAGAGATAGACTACGGTACCCCTACGGTGCTCCTCCACACCTTGCAGCAAACACGCACATACGTACCGCACTCGATCTCCACACACACACACCTTGCCGCATCCCCTCCCTCCTGTTCTCTGTGCTCATATTTCTGGAACATCTAGTTGCTCACGCACATTCGGATATGCTATAGAGATATACATAGAGTGTGGCTGTTTCCCCTGTTCCTATATCATCACTTTGATCCGCATCTCATCGACCCTACAATACATCCAGAGAGCTCTTGCCCGAGCCCCACCCTGACTCCCCACTCACCTTTTTTCCTTCTTCAACTTCCCCGGTCACACCCCCCCCCCAATTCAGTCTTTTCAGCTGCCAAAAACCATGGTGCATCGTTAACACGCCTCCTGCTCCTTACACTCCTCCAACATATTTTCACCTCTTTCACTCTTCCCGGAAAAATTTTCTCCTGGGCTTGGCGAAGTTGGTCCGCCTGGGGTTTTCGTCATGTTCAAGCGCCATCAAGGCAGAAGTAGTGAGACGGACCTTCGACTTCGACGAAGTCTTGATGTCACCAGAAAAACCGCGCACGCTCGCTCTAGCGAGCAGATAAATCGTCGTCCATGCTCTCCATTGGTGCCGGTTCCGGACGTTCCGTCTGGGTTGGTTTCAAAGTCTGGCCCTCGCTTCAGCATGCTACGGTTTAGACATGCTTCGGATTCTGCTATTGGCAGTAAGGCTCGAGCAGAAACACCCCCTCCATTGCCGGCCACCAACGAAACGCTTGTGACGCCTGCCATTATTACTACCGCTCCTACTGTCGACTTTGGGGATCCCGCTCCTCCAAAACGATCGGGAACTATACGTCTCTGGCGACAGAAACCCTCGGAGAAACAGCCAGCTTTTAGCGCTACCATACCCGTTCCTTCGACCGAGAAGTCTCCCAGGCGCAGTTCATTTTCTACGAGGAGGAAGAAGGAAGGGAGCAATAGTGCCAGTTCCAGCATGCGTCTCAGCAGAGTTGCTTTCGACGAACCAGAGCAACAGCCTACCAGCACGACTCCCGGTTCGAGCGCTTTTGACCTTCCACCATACGGAGACCAGAATTCCTCTCTTCCGATTCCAGCCCCGCGGCTCTCGGACTCATCCCGCTCCACAGCTAGCTCCGGTGAGCATTACGTTACAACGACTACAACCCAAACTACTACCACTACTACTACTTTCTTCAGGCTTCCTAGGCGGAAGAAGAAGGAGACATCACTCTTTCCGTTACCAATTAGGGTGCCACCGTTGGAAGGGCGACCATCGATATCCGAATCCGAACTCACCCCTCAGGGTCGAAAGTCTATCAGCTCTTCATCCAAGATTACACCTCACGGTTCCCCTTCGAAACCGCCTAGATCGCGTGATAGCGAGAGTACCGGCACGTCGGTGGTGTTGGCAGGATTGGGCATTACTGGGCCGACAGCTCCAATTCTTCGCACCAATTCGATAGCTTCCACCCATTCAGCTCACTCTAGTCCGACTTCTTTAACGCCTCGAGGAATCATGAGGGGCCGAAGCTCTACCATGTCTTCCTTCAATCACGACGGGGATGGGCGTCAGGGCGGTCGAAGTAGCTTTAGCGGCTTGTTCGGTCGGATTCGCAGGGACAGTGAGCCAATATTCGGCGGTGGAATATCCAGGGGTGTTTCACCTCAACCATACACCGCAGGTCCACGTTCCCTGGCCGCCTCGCAGGAGGTGGTCGCCATTCCTGTGAGAGATGATGACGACACACCACAGATGTATCTTTTGAAACTTTTTGAGGCGGTGAGCAAGAGTGTTGTGGCGTCATTATTGGCTCGGAATGGAGATGCTTTTCACCTTGCGGTTTTGAAGGTATATATGGCGACCTTCGACTTTAGCTCTGTACCGATGGACATGGCGTTAAGGTATGATTGTTCAACATTCGGAGCTTATTCGCTAGGAAATCCTCTTACCGTTCTTAGGAAATTGCTTATGGAGGTCGAACTCCCCTCGGAAACTCAACAGATCGATCGGGTTCTTCAGACATTTGCAGATAGGTACCACGAGTGCAACCCATTTATTTACCAAGACTCGGACCAGGCATACTACGTCGCTTTTTCGTTGATCATGTTACATACAGATTTTTTCAACAAGAATAATAAGCATAAAATGCAAAAACCGGATTATGTCAAGAATACATCACATGTCATTGCAAATGAGGGATTGTCTAGCGAGATACTTGAGGTGAGACGTTTGGATCGGGTTTTCAAGTGTAGTGCTGATTTTGTAGTGTTTTTACCACAATATTACCTACACACCTTTCATTCGGATGGAAGACGAGTTCGATATCAACGGAGAGAAGATAGTATCCCAGGGGCCAAAAAGGGGTATTTTCAACAGAGCTCACGCAGGTGGAAAGCGACCCAAGGAGCCAATTGACCCCTATGCGGTTATAATTGACCAGAAGCTTGATCTCTTGAGACCCAGTCTGAAGGATGTGGTGCAAATTGAGGATCCATATAGCTATTCTGGTACAGCCTCACGACTGGATATGGGGTCTTTGCATCGGGCATTCTTTCGGTCCGGCGTCTTGCAGATCATGTCTGCGCGTTCCAGGCCCGATGCATTCCTACTGCCTGCCACTGTGGAGAATCCAGAGGGCGCGGATCCTGGGGTGGTGGAACTCAAGGTAACAAAAGTCGGGATCTTGTGGAGAAAGGAGATGAAAAAGAAGAAGACCAGAAGCCCGTGGCACGAATGGGGTGCTATTCTCACTGGATCGCAGCTCTACTTTTTCAGAAATTTGAGTTGGATTAAGAATCTTATGCAACAGTACGAATCCCACCACAAGCACAACCCTGGAACCCCAGTTACTTTCAAACCACCATTGGAGCAGTTCAAGGCCGATGCGCAGATATCGACGGACGACGCGGTTGCTTTGTTGGATAAGAGCTACAAAAAGCATAAGAATGCCTTCGCATTCGTACGACATGGAGGTATGCAGGAATATTTCATCGCGGATTCGGAGTCGGAAATGAACGATTGGCTTGCCAAATTGAATTACGCGGCTACCTTTCGCTCGGCTGGTGTTCGGATGCGGGGTGTTGTTGGAGGAAATTATGAAGGACAGAGGGCACGTGGTATTCGAAGGATGGATAGCACTACTGGGTCTCCGGGCTCGCGTTCGGTTCAGACTCCTTCTGGGGAAGTTAATATATTGAGGGGTGGTATAGATAGTCAGCTTGCTGCGGAAATTGCGGTAGCTCGGAGGGAAGTGATTGAGCACAAGATATCTGACTCGGAAGATAAACTGGCGGATTGCAATCGACAACTACAGATCCATCTCCGGAACGCAAAGCATCTGACTATACTGACACCGATCCAGCCAAAGGCAAGGGAACAGGTTGTGATGGCCGCAGGTGCGTTGGCAGCAAAGTTACAGTGGATACGGATGGAGATGTGGAAGCTGAGATGTCATCGGGATATTTTGGCATTGGACTCTGATGAGGAGCGTAAGTCTGAGAGGGAGCGAGCTGAAAGAAATTTGGCTATAGTTACTCCTCAGGTGAGTTGCCAGAATTCACCTGCGGCATCTATACATGGGGCACCCCCTGCCTCACCTTTATCGGGGGGACCAACCCCTACGCAGGCCACATTTACTGCTGTTTCTGCTGTTGAGGGGTCTTCTCAGGTTACTTCGCCTGCATCTGCCCAGAGAAATGGATCCACGTGCGATTTTACTCCAGGAACTAGCCGTAGTGCCAGGGGATCCATGTCGTCGGCTGCTCCCCGATCTCCATCATTATCATCCATGTTACCCAATGGGACAATGTCTTCTACTCAGGTTGATGATGACCAAAGCTTTGAAACTGGCCGTAGTCGCCATTCACCTACGCCAACTCTCTCCGAGTCTAGCATTGGCACGGGAATTGGTAAGGAGAAGGACGAGGACAAGGAAAAAGAGAGGGAGAAGGAGAAGGATAATGAAGAGGGCAAAGGCAAGGGCAAAGACAAAAGCAAAGCAAAGGACAAAGATTCCGGCCGCCCAAAGATACGAAGGAGTCTGCAAAGGACCTTGAGGGAATCCCAAGCACTTGGCCATAGGAGAGGAAAGTCGAGGGATGTGTCAAATGATGATCCCTCAAAAGCTGGTGAAGGGCGCCCCGGCGAGACTGAGGGCTTAGCTCGTGGCTCTGGAAGTTTTACCGTTCATGGTATGTTTAGGACCTTGTTACCTTGCCGCCCTTATCAATAGGTTGCTCACCGCCCGCGTTTCCCCACTACACAGGAAAGAAAGCTAGTGTTATCACTTTTGGCTCCGAATGGCAAACCCTATCTGCTGAAGATAGGCTTAGACGAAACAAGTCAAATCAAACCGGGACGGAATCAGATTCTATGCTTGACTCGGAATCGCTCCCGAGTACGTTATATCCTAGCCGACGAGGATCGCAGCAACCCTTTCCCCGCAAGGAAGACGATGATGTTGGTTTGCCGCACTTACCTTCTACTAATAGCAGACGAGGTTCTCACACTGGCCTGATCCCGGTTCCAATGAGGAAAGAGGATGAACTTCCAGGTGTCCCGGAGCATACTGATGTCTTTTCACCTGGAGCAGAGGAGAAGCTGATTGAAAAGTTGAACGGCGTGAAAGCTAATGAAAGCGCTGCTACCAATCCTGAAGCGGGTGCATCTACTGATTGATTTACTATATGCCGTCGGTATCCTCCTTTATTCTTCCGCCTTTCGTTGTAATGTTTGTGAGGTTTTCTTTTTCCTACTTTTTATGCTGTGGAAAGGGGGGCTGGTTTTGCGTTTGATATTTCCTTTGTCCGGTTTCCCTGATCACTTTCAACGGTTTTAATTTTGTCATTTTTGCGCAACTTGGGATGATATCCAATACCTTCTAGAGACGAATTGGGGTTTGGGGGAAAAGTGTCATTTTCTTGCTCTGTATGTTTGGTTTGGCGCAGGGGTTTGTTGAATTTTCTCTCCCAAAACGAAACTTTGTGCATCCTACTTTTATTTTTTTTATTTTTTTATCTAGTCGTGGAGGGCGCTCGAGTCTTCTGTTACTTTCATTTTTGTCAGCGCCTATAACTCCGGCAGACCGCTCATTCTTCTGATATCCTCTCTTTTCTTGCATTGCATATTGTATCTTGGACGGGGTTTTGTTAGGGGTTTCCCTTCACCCCCCCCCCTTTTTTTTTGGATAGGACCTTTTTTGGATGCATCGGGATCTGGGGTTTCCCGGGACACACGTGCAGAAAACATGGGATTGTAGAATAATTGATCTAGATTATTACCGTTACCGATACCGCTACTGGGTGTGCTGGTGGCCTTTCCCTATTGTTCGGTTCCTAGCGCAGATTTAATAACATAGTTTGCCGCTCCTCCGCCATTATTGGACTTCTGCAGGAGTGTTTCTGTGGGGCTTTCGGCTGAGGTTCGGCTTTGGTGATGACGTGTTAGTACCTGTATTGCCGCTAGGAACGAGTGAGAATGTGTGCAAACTCTGGACCCATTCTGTGGACTGGACTGGGAGCGGACACAGCCCATAGACGCCTCTACCCGCCACATTTACCTCGCTTTTCTTTTCCCTCCCTCCCCCGACTCTCACCTATCTTCCCTTCCCTTTCCTCTACTCGAGTATACCACGATGCGCGAACCTCTTATCGCTACCGAACCTTCCCACTCGATTCTAATGTCTAACGCCGGGACTAAGTCATCGGACGCGACACGACATGGTCCCGGATCAGATTCAGGTTTGAGGTGTGATATCATGACTTGATCTTTTCTCTCTTTATTCAAGATGACCGCTAAGGCTCTGAGCGGCTTGACCAGAGGGTTACTGATGGAGGGAGGGAGGGAGGCTATTTGGAACACTTCTCCCGTTTGAGAATTTTCTTTGAGGGGGGGGTGTTCTCTTTGGGCCTGTCTTGTTGCCTTTTCTTGGTTGATTTTGTGATCGTGTTGTGTAGAGACGGGTATTGGGGTTGATGCTTTCGCTATTTTTTTTGATGTTTTCTCTCTTTTGTATATGCGTGTGTGTGGGGGGGGGGGGGTACGATGGATGTGCATAGGCTTACCTTTTTCTACATTGAATAGATGTGTGTTGTATTGTTAGGTTTATGGGATTTCTCGCTGGCGATTGAAGAGGTATAGTGCAGTGCGGTATCCTGGGACGTCACGGTCTCTCACTCGGCCTTGTCTGTCCTTTCCCCGGCATTGTCGTTGTAACGTTGTGAGGCCTATACTCGAGCACTCACCCTGCACCAGGGAGAGGTCCGAGAAGGTTGAAACAGGATTGGGCAGAAACTGCTCTCGACTCGAGTACTCTCTCTCTGACTTGGGTATCGGATGACTGAGAACAAAAAAAAGCCTGGGTTGCACTTTAGTGCCAACTGGAGAATATGTACTGTAATACTATTGTGACACAATCCCGCAACGTAATTCGGTTTGCCGTCTCGCTGGCAAGGCAGATAGACAGATGAGGCCGCGGGGAGAATAAAGAAAGGATCTCCTTGCAGGTAATCTGATTGAGCTCCTGTTGAGAGAACGATCAACACACGTTAACGAAATTATCTCCGTAACGAGTGGGGGAACCTGAGGGCCTACTGGGCAGCCAACAACTGCAGATTTCTCCTTTCTCTACCCTTTATATATATATATATGTAAAGGCAATTGACCTAGGACCCACTGCGAGAGTGCAATGTGTATCCGGTTAGCGGGAACACTGCCGAGGATTAGTTCTGCTCTCTGGAGTGTGACCAAGGCTGGAAATAATCTCGACAAATTCAGACCTGCATTGTAAGATTCACCCCTCCTCCCCACCGCTCTGGGGTAACTTACCCGTCAGCGAAACGCTTTCGATCGAGATTCGTGAAATTCCACGGGAACCTTCCTACTGCCTTTCCCTCCGTGTCCTGGTTGGTGTATCGGGGTTGTCATCGGTTCATCAGCTCAGAGCAGTTTGGAGTAATCATTGAACTCAATGGTGTCAAGTACTGTGGCCGGGGGTGGAAGGGTGTTCAGTGAGCTGTGGGGTAGCGTTGCATGCTTTAGAACATTGGGGTAAGGGAGGTCTGGAGAGTTGGGAAGCTCGGGGTGAGTCTAGTTCCTGTTGTGAGGTGGGATCGGTGGGCAAATAAACAGACGGTGGTGGAGAAGGAGGAAAGAGCTTCGTTACTGCTCTCGGGAGAGTGCCTGCAAGCTGAATACAAGACGCCGAGCAATATGCGACTGCTTGCTCTAACCTCGAGACCTCTAGGTATCCAAACCCTCATCTCCGATGGTGCACACCACGCCAAGGGTCGTCACCAATAAACACTCAACATCTTTGCTCAGGCTGATGCACATCACATCGTCTGCTATCGCTCATATACTCTCAACGGTTCCAGGAACGTGTTCAGGTGCTTCTGGGGGTAGCGAGTGATTTTTCGTGCTCTGGATACTCTTTAGCTTCCTGGGTTGGTTCTGCGGGATACCGGCAGGTGGCTCTAATGATGGAATAGAGTTCCTTGAATGTAAGCATTGGCTGCTCATTGCGGGAAGTGAAGAGATTGGACTCCAATATTAACACTAAATTCTAGGAATCCTGTCTATCGGGTCTTCGCCGTGCTCTACAGTCCCCGTAGACAATTTTGAAGAAGATAAGAATGTTCATCGGCTGAACCGCCCCTATCCACTACTTGTAGCTACCTGGGCTCTGAGAGTCCTGACCTCGTCTGAGCGTGAGCACCTCTCTCCTAGCTTCAACTATCGCAAGTAGGTCTTGTTACGCTCGAGGAGATAGCATATCGGAACCCGCAGCAACTATGATATATATTTTGGATTAAAAGAAGTAAAAAAAGATTTTTGCCGCGCCGCCGATCGCCAACCCATCACCCGGGGCCCTTGGGTGTAGGTCTAGAGTCGGATACTGCCACCTCACAGCAGCAAGGAAAGCCCAACAGCCTTATTGAGGAAGGCGGAGCTCACCAAATCTCCCAGTTCCCATAGGGCAGGGGTCTAAGACCCTCCTACCCTATATGACGGATCGTCCAACAATAACTCAATGCGAGCGTGAATTGAACTCCTGGGCTCCTGCTAAGTGCGATAGGAAGTTAATGTGTACTGTGACATCTTAACCACTACGCCAGCTAGGTGTTTCATGAAATGATAACTTGGGAACAAATACTTATCCCACTGGCAGTTGAGCTTTCAGGACATTAATGAGAATAGCAGTATCATACATTTCTTTCTACATTGTTGGTGGGTTTCATGATAAATATTTGTAGACTCTTCAATCTCTTTCTTAAAAGGTTTTCTATAACTTTTGTCATGGAGAAGTAGTGTATCATACTTTATACAGCTATGGCCACGATGTAGCACCTGGGCCTGAGCGCTTGCCTTGACCTAGGGAATTATCCAATAGATTTTAATTGAGAAGAAACTGTTCTTAGGTGCTTCTAAGACATCACGCGTTGCTGAGCCTGTGGAATTATATAGCATGTACTTTGGGTAGTAAGATTCTCAGACAGGTTCTGATAGGAGTTAGATCATTAAAATTCTCACAGTTTCAAGCAGATTCCATAATTTACTGGTCATCTATATCTACAGTTTTGTTGGAGAAATAAGTCAACAAGGTGATAAATAAATTTTCTGGGGTTAAGAACGGCAGGAGGAAGCCGGTATAGCATTTCAAAACCTGCAATCGCTGCTTCAAATCAATGGGCACTTCTTTATCATAGATAGGGAGAGAGCCGTTGGGGGGATTGGTCATGATAATGATAATCTAGTATTGTAGTAAATTAGGAATCACATAAATTAAGGTATGACACGGACATCGACACAAAGTCCGTGTTCTAAACTACCAAGGCCTCACCCGAATCAACCTAAACCAAACCAAACCGAAGGTGGCCACCGTGCTGTGGGGGAAAAAGCGGCAGCCGTGCACCTACAACATGGATCTAATACCCTTAGCACCTTCCCCCTTCCCCAGCCTTAACAAAACCTTATCCCTGCCGCCGGCGCTTGTCCACCACCTAGCCGCAACTTCAGCCCTCTCAACATCCAACTCTCCGCTCAGCACATCCCAAAATCGCTCCCGTATCCTCCCTTTGCTCCCCTCGTTCCCTACGCTATTCAGCAGACCCGCCGTGGGGTCTAGCCACCGTTCCATAGTCCCGACCTCCATGGCCGGCAACCCGTCTATCAATGCTAAAACGCACACATCCTTTTCACTGAGCCCCACCGCGCCCTCATCGACTTTGTTGCCTAACGGCTCTGTCGAGGCGACCTTTGCGCGCTCAGCTAGGATTTCCACGATTACTTCTGCTAGATGGGGCTGTAGTGATGAGATTTCCTGTGGTGGTGAGCATTCTCGTATCAGTGTGCCAAAAGCGAGGCGGAATTGCCTTGCTGAAAGACATGCTGGAAAAGCCTTGAATACGGTATCAACGTAGAAGGGTAATATCCGTGCTCCGAGATCCGCAGACTTTGGGGCGCTAATAATAGATAACATGACGGAATGCGCCGATTCAAAGTGTGCATGCAATGAAGCGTCAGGAGAAGGGAGGAGGTATGCAGACGTGCATGGGAGGATTGTTTCCTCATTTACCTTCTGTGGGAGGGAGTAGGTGAAGTGTTCTACTGTGTTTAGGAAGTAGAGGTCGAAGAGGCGTTCGGGAAGCGTGGGAGGGATGGTACCGGCCTGTGCTGGAGCGATGTCTGTGATTAATTTTTCGGAGAGTGTTGGGTAGGTTGTTAGGATATCGATTGCTGCGAGGTAGACAAAGTTGTAGCTAGAGAAGGCGTTAGGGGCTAGGCGGGAGGTTATAAAGTAGAAGTTTCGGAGGATTAGGAGGACTTTGGAGGAGAAGGTTGGGCCATCTAGGAAGTTAGTAGGTATCACCCGGAGGTCGGGTATGCATGAACTTACGATCTGGTCCGGAGAGTAGTGAGGATTCGGCAATTCGTGCTGTAAGCTCCTGGAGAATCATTGTCGATCCGAAGAGGATGGCCTTTAATATCTGCCAGACAACGGGAAGAGTTGCTTTCAATGATTCCTCATCCACCCGGGTTTTCTCTTCCGACATTGGTACCTCGCTCAATCCGTTCATTTTCCATTGCGCGCTCAGGACTTGAGAGAAGCCCCAGAGGCTGGTAATAGTTAGTGATGGGTCAACCTAGCAGGTAGGTTCATACATACCTATCAACAAACTGATGTAGGGCCATTGGGTCCCGCGAATGCCTGATAGAGGCCGCAGCTAGTCGGGCGAGCCCGCTCATGGCCACAAACATAGGCCTTCCAGTCCTCTGTTGAAGCTCCAGGAAGGAGTTCGATTTACTCTAACAATAGATTAGTGCTAGTAGCACGATCAACGTTAGGGTACAACTCACGGGCCAGACAAGCTTTCCCTCGACGGTCATTATATCGTGATCGATTGTTGAAAGGAAATAACCTGATTGAAACCCTTCGCGAGAATTATACATAGATTTTACAATCACGGGTAACAGAGCCTGTCCTATTAGAATGGTATTGAGGGCTATGGAGCGGGAGCATACATCGTAATGGATAGCCTCTTTTGCTCTCCTTGAAAGACATTGAATAGCATGCGACAGAACAAGACTAAGAACGTCTGCCTCAAGCTCTGAATGTCCGCGGGTTAGCTACGCATTTTCTAGATGGGACAAAGCGGCTACCATGACGAGCGTTGCTCTCCACCGATAGGTTCACCGCTCTGCAAAACGCTTGCTCGAGACTTGTGCGGGTAACCCTGGGCAGCTGCGACCGTTCCTGATCCGCCGAAAGTACACCCCCGAGAAGCAACAAATGTTTCCACCGAGGCACTAATACGACCCCATTAGCCCGACCCTCTTGCCCTGCGACCATTCACAGGGGCCTGGTATACCGTTATTATTAGCCCCTCTAACGAGAGCACTGATCCATTCCTCAACGCTCAGAATAGACCCTTGTGACTCGAACTTTCCAACCGTGGCGCTTTGGAAGACTCCAAAAACACGCAGTCCGGCTTTGAGCCCGTCGAAATTCTCCTCCCATATCGCAGGGGAGACCAAGATTTGGGTTGATAGTAAGGAGACATTTAGTGGGTTTGTTAGCGTCGCGAGAACCGTTGCGGCCGAGGCGTAAACACTGGAGTAAGGGTTTAGTTATTGCCCATGAAGAAGGGTGAACGCGGTGAAGGATCGTACCTGGATGCGTCTGCATTGTTCGGATCCGCCGCTCCTGGCTGGAGTAGAATTCGGAGTATGTTGTCTAAACGGCGGTCGACTACCATTGCTGAGTTTGAGGGTCGGGAGTAGACTCCTTGGCGGGAAATTTTGGAGGAGCTTGGTGGGCGTTCGCGATCCTCTTTGGTGCCGACGTCCAGCCAAGACATTTTTTGGCCGAGGCAACTCACAGGTTCACTGTCAGTTCGGCATCGAACTCTCATTTCGAGGTGTCACTTCCCGCACAATGCTTTGATTTCGCTGTGGAATACTCTATCTGCCCAACAAACGGCTAACGGCGGCATGATATAGCATCGTATAAAACCTTTAACGATAAAACAAGGGCGACAATGAGCCCTCCGATGTAAACTCCCCTCCCTTTTCGTTTGAATAAATCTGGTGCTAACTTGTCTGCTTGTTCACAGATATAACCCAACCACCGACTCGATAACCCCCCCGGGACATATCCCCCCCTCTTTCCCATCTCTCTACTGGCCGATAAATCCGGACCCGGGAGAGGCAGCGTACCTTTACATGCCCCGCGACATATGGAAATTCACGCTTTATTGGACGTTGATAGTGTATGCGGCTTTCCACCTTTCGGCAGGGGTTTGGGCTTTCGCGATGAGGCCGAGTAAGCTCTCAATCGGGGTGCCATTATTCTATGCTGTTGTTGGAGGGATTGAAGCTACGATTGCTGGGAGCATTGTTGGGTCTATGTGAGTCTGTTCAAGACAGTGTTGGTTTTGATTCTGTGGGATACTGATCAACACATGGGGTTTAGACTCGGCGCGGTTTACCGAGCCGGGTATTTTCGAATGAGCACTTGGATACCTTTTGTTTGGTCGGTAATAAACCTTCTGGTTTTGCTGCTCTCTTCATTTTCGATGCAGGGAGGATTGTGATAGTATTGGAAATGGGAAAAAAATAGGGGATGGGAGTTCCGGGGTTTTCAGTTGAATTAGAGTGCTTAGCTACTGCGCGGGAAGATCATAAAGTTCCATGCGGCTCTCTTTTGCCTCCCCTCGTTCGGCAAAAAGGTACTTGTGATTGGGATTTTTCTCATTTCTCATTATGTTCCCGATCGCCCCCTTTCGCCTATGCTCGTTTATGGTAAACCCGAGTCTGTACGCCAAATGATACCGGTAATGATACATGACAATAATATGACACCTGAAAGCACTTAAATGGGGATTCTGGAGATCACGCTAATCCCTCAGGCTGGTCCTGGAGTTAAGACGTGATGAAAAAGACCACGCCGTCGCTAATGATTCCGAAAATTCTTTTTTTGATCTATAGATATATTAGTCCTTGGTCTCCACCCCATGGTAGGTATTGAAGAACTCACAAAACAGATCTGTTCTCGAGCTGCCTAGATTGATAATCTTTGGACAACCGTCTCGATCTTTTTCTAGCCGCGTGCATTCGAAGCAATAGAATGCATCCGAGATCCCTTCCCCACCGCAGACAACGCACTTGTTCTGGTAGTTTCCGAAAGAGCACTCATCGCAGATGCGCACCAGCGTTGTGGGACGAACGTATGAATCACATACAGGACATTTGCCGTCGCATTTGTCGCAGAGTCTGCCGATTGCGATTCCGGCTTGCTTGCGGCACATTACTAAATCACTATTAAGAATTAAACAACCTTGAGCAATTATCTGGGGGTGAAAGGGGGTGCATACGGGTGGTGGCGAGACATAGTTTAGGCTGTAGATTGTTGATGTTGAAGTTTTGGATGGTGTTGATGCTTGGCCTTTCTTCTACCTGCAGGTAAAGTAGTCCAGTGTTAGTAATACAGTGGGTTGGCAGGTTTAACCGAGAATTCATAGTCTTGGCAGCCTCCAGACTCGGGATTTTTGGTTTGGGTTGACTTGGGCTTGCTTCTTTCCGACAGCATCTCCACAATCAACACAGCGATGGATGAGGAATACAAGTGAGCAGCCTCCCCTCGACAAACATGTTTGCAAGACCTCTTGCTAATCAGATCATTTGCAGGACTATTGCATCGGCCGTCGTGGTTCCCTCCGACGAGTCCCCCCGTCACAAACGTCGCCAATCATCTTCCCCCGAGGCTGCCAAACGTGCTCGGATAGAGGCAAACTTAGCGCCGGAGAAGCCAACCGTTAAGGATACAAGCAAAGATGAAGAAAAACGTCGTGGGAGACGCTTGTTCGGAGCACTATTAGGTACGATCGGGAAATTTCAAGCAGACAACTCTTCGGCTAGGGCTAGGAACAATGCAGTCAAACGTAGAGAAGTAGAAGCAAAACTTCAGGAGAAACTCAAGGCCCAGACAGAGGAGATTGATGAGAAGCTTAAGCGAGAGGATGAGGGCATTAACCACCGCAAGATGGTGGAGCAGAGGCAATTCGATGAACGCGCTGTAGGAAATCTCCGTTCTGACATTTCGGGGCTGGTGAGGTTCGCTGGGACGGGTGGGGACTGATGGCCAGGAATTATAGATGCAGATTCGCCATGATAATTTACTCAACCAGGCACACACCTTGAGCACAAAGTCGTCTCCGAAGTTGGTATGGATCCTCAAAAAAAAAAAAGGGAAAAGTTGGATACGCGCGTTTCGTTCTGGTCTAACAGTCCTAGTTTTACCTCCCATGGAAGCTCACCCCCGAAGAGGAAGAACGCATCAAACTGCAGGTACTCGCGGCCCAGGACATCATCGATAGAGAGCAGCGTGAATTTCAGCAAAAGCGCGAGACCCTTGGAGAAGATGACCAGAATTCAGGAACGGCTAACATCCAAGAACCGGACGTAGCAACTGATCGTTATGACGCTCTAGAGCTCGCTGAAGACAGGACTCACGAAGATGAAGACATGGTATATGAAGCGCCCGAGGATCCTGCCACTAACCTTGACAATGCTCCTGCTGAAGAACAACATCAGAGAAATGCTTCCGATGTTGATCTTGGGGATGTGAGTGTTGAGGAAGCTGGGGAGGATGCAGTGATATACTAAAGATACCATGACAAAAGCCTTTCATACCTTCTCGTTTTTTATTTTTTTCGTGCCACTCTCACAACTAGTAGTTCTCGGGGATTATCACTTGTTCTCTTTCACCTTAATGGCACAAATTCTGCTTTGATTGTGCTATTTTAATTGGTAGTGGGGAGTTCATTTTCATTTTCATTTTCTTAGAGGTGGGGGGAAAGGTGAGCCCAGAAGTTAGGGGAAAGGCCGAGACGACCACTTATATCATAGCTTTTCTGATTCATCAATGCTGGTTCCTGCCTAGCAATGTATTTTTATCATTGTTTCCACGATAGGATCGACAATCCACATCTTGTGGGATTCCAAGACATTCGGGCGCCGGAATTCCTGGATGACGTTGTCTCCGTTTGCTGCTCCCGTATTATCTCTAGTATTTACCCCCCCCCGTAGAACTCCTGAAGTAAGGCGTGAGCCTTGCTTCATAATGCCCCTTATTTGTGGGACCCCACGATACATTAGTAAGTACTAGGACATGATTCGCCGAAGAAATGAGATGCAAAGTTTTCGTTGACTGCCATGTACGAACGCGAGTACGAGTACAGTGCTGCGCAGTACGAGCATATCTCGACCGATTCGAACAGATATTTATGGATGCATATCAGTGCAATAGAGGTATTTGTGACCAGGAATGCGGTCATTGACCATCATAAACCGGTCACTATTTTCCTTGCCTATCCTAGACTTGGGAGATCCTATCCGAGATGTTTGGTTTAGCTGTGTCTGTATAGTGCCAGAAGGGGTGCTTCGTGAAGTATCGAGGGCTCCATACGGGGCCCAGTCAGGGTCTCCAGATCAAGCTACCTCAATTACCGTAGGGGCGAATCAGCATTCCAGGAGTTGGTCGCCCCACCTTCAGCGGGGTCCAGGCGCTCTGAAATCAATTCGTGAGTCTACAGTAGTGGTGATGCAGTACCGTACAGTACCCGTACCGGCACGGGCACTGTATATACGATACATAGCCAATCAACCTTCGTACGGAGCGCAGGTATCGCTACGGTGTTTTACCGCTCCCAAGAACCGGTATACTAGTGCCTATACCTCATGTGCCCCGCTGGTAACGGCACTTACAGCACAACGTGCAAGTAATAAGAGTGTGATAAGAAGGACGCAGCCAGGGTCCAGGTTGAACCCCATAGGGTTGATCTCGCCCACAATTTATAATAAACCACCACGCGGGTATGGACGTGGGATGACCGGAGTGCCAGGGACCAGGGACATCGCTTGAGCGAAATCCGTGCCAGATCGATTCTTTCATTTCCTGTGAGGTTGGTAAGTTAAGTTCATGACACCAGGAATTCCTGGCTTTCTGGCCTCCCGCACCCACCCACACCCGAGAACCAGCAGAAGGGAGAAGAGTTATCCGTGGTCGAACTTGACAAGCTTGGCGTTCAGTATAGGTCTTTCCGTTTCTGGCGGTGCTATGGTACGGTACCGGTACTCTTTCTTGCAGGTCGGTTTCCCCGCCGGACCACACAACCCAGACACCCCACGATATCATCCTCGGGGGTTCCCCAGACACGGTACTGGGTGAGAAAAAAGGAAAGAGAGACGGAAGTCACACCATTCGGGTACCAGTGCATGCACGGTATAGTACCGTATCTAAACACCGCACCTCCCTCGGGTAGTTTAGCTTCCGTATCCGCGGAAGTGCCTAATATAGGGATGACATATAGTGAGCGAGGAAAATGGCGGGGGGGGGGGGGGGTAAGCTTCTGCGGGGTATGATATATATAAGCTGCCAGCTCCCTTTCTCGCCAGCACGTTTCCCCGGCCGTACAGCGCGAGCTGGGAGGTAGCGAAGGAAAAAAAGAAAGAAAGAACACTATGACGACTAACAATATTAAGGCTATTCATCCGTACGATGACCCCAGGGTCACGCATAAGTTTCAGGTGGTCAATGGGAAGAATTACCGTATGTATCCGCCCTAACCCCCCATCTACTTGAGTAGAGGTGGCTACTGTAGTAATAGTAGTGAAAATTGCTCACCTTATTGGTGTCTTAGACTACGTCCACGGTGCGCCAACCGGAAATGTTAGGGGAACTTTCCTTTGTGTAAGTTCGTTTGTTTGCAGTCTTAGGTTGTTATCGCTAGCAAAGCTAATGATGATAGCTTCACGGGTTCCCGGACTTGTGGTGTACGTCTCTTAGGGAGGTAGGGCTTGGGCAAAAGCTAACGACAATTGTAGACGGATATCGTTTCATTATCCCTTTTATTTTGGAGAGGGGATTCCGTGTGATTGTCCCCGATATGCTAGGATTTGGGCAAACGGTTCGTTTATCGCTGCTCCTTGATTGATTTTTTTTTTAAAAAAAAGGGGGTAGAGCAGCTAACAAATTTCCAGGATGCACCCAGAGTCCCGCCGGCAGACATCTCAGCATACTCCATGAAGAACGTTGCAGCCGACATGATAGAGTTGCTCAAGCTTCTGAATGTGCCGAAAGTCATCCTTTTCGGACACGATTGGTACTATTTGCTCTACCTTTTCTTGGCATACCGGCACTCTAGTACTAATCTATCAGCAAAACTCCAGGGGCTCAGCGATAGCGTCGAGGATATACCTCTACAACAGCGAGATAGTATCCCATATTGTCAACGTTTGTTTTCCATTTACGCCCCCAGTCCGAGAGTATATCCCTATTCGTGAGCTTGTAGCAACAAAAGTCCCCTCGTTCAAGTATCAAATAGCGTTTCAGGACCCGCAGACAGAGAAGGATACCGAAGCACCCGGCAAGGTCCGGCAGTTCCTTAAGGGGCTTCACAGAGCCCCTGGGGATGAGGCAGCCAATTTAATGGTGGAAAAGGACATCGTCGAGAGTGTCGGAGATCTCAAGAGGGGCAGGTTCATGACGGAGGAGGATTTGGACTACTATACGAAGGAATATGAAAGGAATGGGTTCCACGGGCCTCTGAACTGGTACAAGACTCGGAAGGTGAACTATGAGGACGAGAAAGAGTATTCACCCCGCTCCCCCCATCTCTGTTGTTACCATTTAATATGATTCTAACTAAGGCAAAAGTCTTCCATTTGAGGGTTTCAAGGTGCCATGCCTTTTCCTCGGAGCGAAATATGATATAGCTACTCCGCCTTCTATGGCTGAATCTCAGAAGCACTCTATCCCACACCTCACTGCCCGGCTTATGGACACTGGCCACTGGGCTCTGCTGGAAGATCCGGAGACCGCTATTGGACATGTGAGCGAGTGGATTGATGCCGTAGTTCTTGGTGGTGGTGAGAGCAATATCTAAGGGCATTGTGCTGTGGTTAGCGACCGCGCAGTTGTGATCTATGAAATTTGAATTTGCCTTGATCTTGATCCCATGTTTCTTAGGGGTTCGTGGATGCGCAAAATGCTGTTTAATTCCAATTCCCACGACTGCGTACTTGAAGATTGGAAGAATGGAATCTAACTTAGACTCCCCGTTCTCTTCAGGGTGCCGCAATACCCAGTTGTCAGGTGTTGAAAACATGAGAATGATTTCATATGGGAGCCATAAGCATTCACGTGTATATGTAAGTGCTTACGCATCTTTCATGTCCTTGTTGTGCGTTGCTCCCTGAAGTTTGTTTTCTCCTGTTTTTTTTTCTTTTCTCTTACCTAACCAACCAACACATCCAATTCCTTCTGTTCCTCCCTCGCTGTTTTCCTCCACTCTGCACAGTCAACAAACCTACCTCCTTCTTTTCTTTCTCTTGACTCCACTCTCTGTATACAAGAAAAATACTTTTCTCTCTTTGGGCATTTACTTCCTTCGGTTCCATAAAACCTTCGTCAATTCAACCGCAATTTTCAACATCAGGGTCCGGTACTCCAGCCGAGTGACAATCAATGATTAAACAGCAAAATACCAGAAGGCGACACAACTAGCGTGACAGTAGAAACGCGCGTGATCTACTTCAAGGGTATATATGTAATAGGCCAAACGCCTACAGTTGCACTCCGCCCAGATGAACCCTCTTACACCGGGGCCTATCCCGCCCCTCGTCCGCTATCGGCACTTCATATCACCCTGGAGTCGGTCGCAACACGCGCTGCGGAGAGACACCTAGATCGGCTCACCATGCCCCACGGCAAGGGAAATGCAGACGATCCTCGAGCATTACTGGAGAACCCTGTAGTTTCTACGGATGCAGCGCCAAACACTCGATGCTCGCTGCCTCAGGGCATTGCTATCATATAGTGTTCCTCACGAGCCTGGCTCTATTAGTGGTCGCTTGGCATCACACTCCCTAAAACAAGCTTACAGGGGGCGATCCGCATAGCGAACCCGAGCAGTGGACATATTCCGCATATCAAGTGTGCAAAAACAAATCTTCCCCAGATTCTGCTGCGAACATATCTGTTTTCCGCTTTGTCAGCCCCCACCCCCCCCCTCCAGCTTCTGCAAATCCATCCACCGAGGGATGTACATTTATGGCTTCCTCCTCCACTGAGGATTTCTCATTGCCATCTAACAAATTAACTAACCTATCCCCTCTCCCCGATCCCCAACCTCTCATGAGTCCAGTCAAATTTATGATAGGAGTTAAAGTGGGATCCGCACTAGACCCTTCCCTCTCCGAGTTAGGGCCAACAAAGGTACGATATGTGCAAAACAACTTCCCGGGCCATCGGAAAATTCCAAGTTATGATACTAAATTTTTTCTTTTCTTTTTTTGCCTACTAGTAAGTAGTACCTGCTCCACGACGTAACTTATACAAGGTAAATATTGGGAGATATGTCGGCTCGCAGAGCTCGAGCTAAAAGTTTGAGTCGAGCCTTGGGGGCTTTTTTTTTCTCGGATAGTAAGGAAAACTGCAATACTATCGTATTGCTTTACTTGGCAATGACGAGTCGAGGGTTTCGTGACGGGGACCATCGTGGGGAGATGACGTTGCTTATCGCAGTGGAAAAAAAAAGGCAGGGAAACTTCTGAGTCCTGTGGTTATCACTCAAAAAAAAGGGGGGAGATATACATTTGGCTCGCCGAATGTTACAGGGTTGGAGGGGGAACGGTGTCGGTGACTGGGCTGCCATGGGTGGAAGGGGAAGGTGTGATGATGATTGTCGAGGAGTGATTAAGGGATGGATTCTCCATTGAGTATTGGAAACGATCCTGGGGTTTTCGGGATTCCTTTGATTCTGATTTTTTTAAAAAAAGGGGCTATATCATGCCATACCTACATAGCGCCACCATCCCCTTAATCCATTCAATCTACTCTACTCGTACTCGAGTACAATATCACTTGGCCTAGTCCCGTTCGCTATCGTACATGTCCGGCACGGCACCAAATTTTAACATGCCTCTCTAAATATCCTAATACGTATCATGGTCAAACCCGCGAGTCACGTGCCAACCCCCGAGTGCTTTCCCATGAGCATCAAGTGGCTTATCATGATACCAACTGCACCACCTTGGCATTGGTCCAGGTGCCACACTTTTGCGCGAAAGGCGAGGGGACTCGGGAGCGAACGCTATCACACAAGGCATTGGTATCACAATCAGTCCCGAAGCACCCAGCTGTAAAAAAAGGAAAAAAGACTCTCTATTGTATCATTTTTCAGCCAAACAAACTTGGTGCATGGTCTCAGATGCAGGATGTATGGTACAAGTACGACTTTGGAGAGACCAGTACGAGTACCGTACTTGAATCATACTCAGCCTAAAGTTCATTGTCGGGTGCTACTGGATCCGCCTGTGTACCGTATGCTATCCCAAGTTCCCGACATAGCTACCGACGCGAACGTACAAGTACCGGTATGATACAAGTACAGTCAGTACTGTAGCACCAGACACGAAGCTTTACGCCGGTAAATTTACATTTTCTCCAGTCCCGCCCGGGACTCAGCGTGGTCTCCCGAATACCCGGCACAGGTTGCTTGTGGGAACGGGGGGCCCCAAAACTGCGGTACGGTAGTTGTCGTTCTGATCTCTACCTCTTTTGGGTGCTGGTGCGCGGGCGCAAAGGTGCATGTTATCCCTGCTGGTGCGTAGCAAGTTTTGCGAGTTTTTACAGTACTCGTACGAGTACCGTACATACAGTATTCGACAGCTCTCGTCACAATGTGCCCTAGTGCACTGGCAGGAACCCGTTAGTGCCGAGTGCCGGCGGTATTATAGTCAAGAACCTGATCATGGTCAGTGACGGGTGGTCAGGGAGAGTGGGTGACGGGGTCATATTGGGGTTGGTATCAATTGCAGTACCAAAAATACTGTGGACGACCGTGCAGCAATAACCGCTAAACAGCGATTGGCACCAGCCAAAATTATCCTTAACCCTTGCTGCAACCCTAACCCTCCCACCACCATGATCAGTCGTGACTCCCGTCATCTGCCAGGGTGGGTGACAGGTCAAGTCCGCTTTTACTGTAGGGGTGACCACTCCGTCACTCTTAATTACCGGTATTCATGTTCCCCTCATTTTTCACGTGGGGGCCTTATCTCTTGCGCCTAGACCTTCAGTTGGGGTGCTGTACCACGTTACATGTGAAACAATAATACGACCCATACATGATATCGTACGCCAAATCTAATAGATACAGTTTTCTCTACCCAAGGAGCTCCCCCGACAAGTACAAGTCAGGAAAGGGGGAGGGGGGGAGGAAAGAAATACAGAAAACACCAGAATTACTCATGATCCAATCATAAAGAAGGAGAAAATAAATACAAAACATTCTGGCTAGAAATTATTACTCGAGGAAAAGACGGGGATCCTTATCTCCCACCGATCTGCCCCTTCGGGATAACCCTTATCCAGCTGATTCCCAGGTTAATCCCAATGCAGATTGCCCCGATGATCATGATGACTTTGTCATATCTTACACCATTGTATCGGAAGATGACACTGAAAATGACGCCGCCGAGATTTCCCGTCGCACCGACTACTCCCGATAGAATTCCATTGGCGAAGGGGTGCACGTGCGGGACTATGGCGAAGTTGGCGCCGTTAGAAGCGTCCATGAAGAATGCCAACCCACTGTATAAACCATTGTTAGCATATCGAAAAAGAGTAGGGGGGTGGGGGGAAGTGATGGAGAGAATCAGGTGACTTACGCAACAAGTCCAAACATCGTAGATTCGTTGTGTGGGTTCAGGATTCCGATGGCCAGACAGAAAACACCTTGCATGCAGCCGATGAACACAAGCCACCATTTCTTCGCCGTAACGCTCTTCGTATGTCTGTAAATGATGTCCGCGATGATCCCACCAGCGGGTCTGAAGAAGACATTGAGAAGACCAAACATGGCAGCCCACCTTCCGGAGTTCGTCTGCCCGAGGTAAGGGAAGTTCTTGAGATAGAATGCCCCCAAAATCGAATTAATCGCCAACTCCCCACCGAACGAGCAAGCATATGGTGCCGCGAGCATGAGACATTGCAGCGAGAAAATAACCTGCATGGCCTCCTTAAAAGTAGGGGCCTGAATGACCTCGCTCTGAGCAATGGTTTCTAGGTCTATGCTTGCGTTACTGCTGAGGTTCTCCGGGTCACTAGGCTTTTGGTCCTTCTCGGTGTATGAAGTGCCCTTGGTGTCCTGGCCCGCGGTGGGGACGTCGCCGATGTTTCCGGGCGCATCCACGATTTTGCCTTCGATCGTGCGTGGGACAAAGTTGTGTCTGTCGGCCCATGCACCGGTTGGCGTGTCTTCGCAGAGGAAGATCATGCCCAGGGCCATTGAGATAATGAGGATGAAAGGGACAATGAAGGCTACGCGCCAGGCTTTGTGTGGAGTCAGGCCGCGTTCGTGAACCAAAGAGTCAAAGATGGCGGGCATGACGAAGCTGGGAGTTCGGGTTAGACTCATATGATTCAGGTGTAGCACGTGGAAGGGAGTTCTCACTATGTGATGCCGCCACCAGCGTTACCAATACCGGCCATGAGTCCATTGGCGGTTCCCACGACGTTCTTGTCGAAGAAACCGGTTGACCAGACCTGGCAAGGGACAAATGTGGCTCCCAAGACACCCACAAAGAAGCGGAGGGCAAGGAGACCAGTCGCGTTGGTCACGAGCCCAGCAAGAGCGGTGGGAATTGCGCCAGCGATCAGAACCCCGGCAAAACAGAGGCGGGGACCGAAGCGGTCGCATAGAGGGCCGATGAAGAGACGGACGACGAGGCTAGATACAAAGTGTTAGAGGTAAATTCCATGCAAAAAAATAATAATCGGGGAAGCAAATAAAAGCGTGAACCCACGTTGCGGTCAAAGCAAGGACGTTGGAATTTGCAATTTCGGGCTGAGTCAAAGCCAGGTCTTTCTTGATGGTTTTCGACATCTACGGAGCCAAGTGAATTAGTCATTGGGGCGGAAAGGGAGGGGGAGGCGGCGTGTATAATTTGGACCAGGCACCTACCAGAGGAGGAAACGCGTACCATGACAGGAACGCAATCATGAATCCGAAAGTCGAGAAGAAGAAGGTCCGTCCATACTTGTCAAAAGGATTCAGGGCAGGTATCGACTGGGCTTTGTTGTTCGTCGGGTTAACGACAGGCGCCTTCCATAAGAGACTCAGCTGCATTGTGAAGGATATATTCCTTTGCTCCCTTCGCGTCCGAGTGATAGGCAGCGAAAAAAGCGCGACTTATTCAAAAGTTCGCAGGGGTATTTCGTTTATTCTTCGTGAGAGGTCCAATTGGTCTCTCTTATATTTCACCCGAATCGTTCTTGAGCAGGACCGGGGAACCGTTGGGCTTCTCCCAGCTTTTTATATGTTGGTTTCGCGGCACTCTCTGGAAATGATAGGCAGTCAGATTGATAGATAGGACGTTGTTATCTCGAACACCCATACGGTCTGCCCCGCCTCGACAGCCCAGTGCACTCGGAGAACCAATCGGGTAAGTGCAATTCCAATCCCTCGTGGTTACAATATGTCAAGCGCCGCAGGGAGTTGTTTTAGACCTCGCACTCCCCTCGATCATTGCCCACAGCCGACAGCACCAAGGGCTAGGTAATCAGGCGTCAGCAGCCGTCAAGCACAGTCCAGATCGGAAGGGGGGGGGGGGAACAACGGCAAGGAGGCAAAGACACAGGGCAGAGGGAAAAAAAAAATGAGAGAGAGAATGGCATGCACAATCCAGTTCAGGCAGATGCTCCAGGTTTTTTCCAAGATGGTACAAGTATAATTGGGTGGACAGATCATGGATGCGGGTCCTGTCGGGGAAGTTCCCCGTGGGAGTCGAAGCGAGCGGCGAGCGTCCCGATGACTGGAAATTCTCTGGGGAGGGAGAGGGGGGGGGGTACAGTACCGGGTTGTTAGGATGAACAGGAGTGTATCATAACGATAAGGGCGTATACCGTGGGTGAGTGCGGGTGAGGTTGAAATGATACGGTACTGAAAGTCTGAGTACAAACATCTTCACACACACAACCCAGATAAGGGGTTCCCTGCTATCTCAGCCCATCCTGGGACCTTACTGAATCGGACTAGCCACTGATTTGGTGACTGTCCAAATGGCTTGGCGGATCTTGTCCTTCGAAAAAGGAAGGCGTTTGGGTGTGTTGGCTTTTGGGAATGAATCGGGAGAAAATGGAGTCAAATACCGTGATCCATTCGGCTTGGCCGTTAGCACCATCTCAGAGCATGGGTGTGCCTGTGCTCGTACTTGTACCCATACCCTATCGTGATCTCTGGGTGCGCCTGTCTCTCTTGAGTCGCCAATTTTCGGGGGTTTGCCTTTTTCCTTTTTCTCAGCGTTTTCTAGCTTGGAGATCCCAACCAACGCCTCTCGAACCTGGAGGATACCGGTGGTTGGACCCCCCGAACGTCCGCCCGAGCACGATACCTGTACTTGTACGAGTAGCCTTCCTTGAACAAGCGTACTCGAGTACCGGCACTGAAAATCAGAATATCGTCTCCAAGTTTTATGATACCCTACCGATATCCTATTATCTTTTTTGTTGTGCCTCTCTCTCGTGCAGGGATACCGCTACCCTGAAGGGTCTGTCATGTCCGCGCAGTCGATTCCCGCGATCTCGCGTTGGCCTCGTTGGGGGTGGACAGCTCAGCCTCTTGTGGTGGGGGTCAGAGACCAGAGAAAAAAAGTTTGCAATTGACCCCCCCCCCCCCGCCCAGCAAGAATTGTGTCGCCAGGGAACCAAAAGCAAAAAAAAAAAAAAAAAATGGTGCCTTTACTTTTTTTTGCCAATGCGCGCACTTAGCGCATTTATCGTCACCAAGGATCACTCGTCGTTAGTTGTTCCTAGAATCTCAAGATGTGGATTCTGATCCACTGCATGGTTAGCTGTGCAGTAATACCGGCATCTTCTTAAACTGCCAGTCTTGAAACTTCATTGCTATCCCCCCTCGGTACGAGGCTGTTTCTGCGGCGAGCAGAAGCGCTCCGCGGAGCACTTCTCCGGCCGCCAGGTACCAGGGGGACATTGGATTTCCTATCGGATGGTCCACCCAATTCCGAGGCACTACAATAGTGGGTCTAGGTGCCGTAGGGCTAGTGCTCTAATCGTCTGCGGCCCGAGAAGCAGATTTATCCCAAGCACCGTACTCTGCTCGAGTAGGAGGTAGAGGATAGCGATATAGATGTTGAGGGAATTTGTATTTTCCTATTGGCCGTTGGCAGGGATCACTTCTCCGCTCACGTTTTTCTGACAAGGTTGGGAAAGCGCATTTTACCTCGTTGGTTTGCCCGAGTTGAATCTACTGTCTCTACTAATCTTCTGTTAAACAGTAGCCTTGGGATAGCATCCGTGTCTAGTACATTTTTTGCTAAAGCCCCCCAAGAAGCGCTCGACTACTTAGATTCCTCGCGGAACGACGGTCGTGTCTAACTCAATTTACCACTTAAAAATGAGATCTCTCGACATTTTTGTTGGATGGCTCTTCAGCCTGCTTTCTCTGATCCGATATCTCAGGGGGAAGAAGTTGGCTCTTGTCGACATTACTTCCCCTGTCAGCATTCCCGACGTGGAGACCAGTTCCCCTATACTCCCAAGCAGAAGTTTTGTAGGGAATCAAAACCAATTAGCTCCGCCCACTCCCCCAGAGTCGGACAAAGGCGACGATGAATGCGATTATTTGGAAGGTATACCGCTTCCACCACCATCGGTAAACCCAACAAAGGTCCTCGATGTTGATATTGGAACGCCCGACGCACACGTCCCCAGGGACCCCAGATTGATACGATTAACGGGAGTGCATCCATTTAATGTCGAACCACCTCTTCCGACATTGTTTGACTCTGGCATGTGTTTGGCTCCTCCAAAAATTTCGAATATAGGGCTAACATAGCGAGTATAGGATTTTTGACACCTCCGGAACTCTTTTATGTCCGGAACCATGGAGCCGTTCCGGAAGTTCAGGATCACCAAATGATGGACTGGTCAATAACAATCGAAGGGTGAGTCAGGATGCGATTCTTGCGCATGACCAAATGGATACAATGGGCTAACATTGAATCTTGCGTAAAAAAAAGGTTGGTAGCCAACCCTCTGACTTTGACCTTACGCCAAATCATCAACGATTTCGAACAGGTTACTCTTCCCGTCACTCTCGTCTGTGCCGGTAACCGTCGGAAGGAGCAGAACCAGGTTCGCAAATCCCAAGGCTTCTCATGGGGTGCGGCGGGTGTCTCCACATCGCTCTTCACGGGCCCACTTCTAGCATCCATTGTTGCCGCTGCAAGGCCCCAAAGGAATGCCAGATATCTCTGCATGGAGGGTGCAGACGAACTCCCAAACGGCAACTACGAGACTTCCGTCCGTCTTTCCCAAGTATATGACCCGAACCGCGGGATCATGCTTGCTCACAAAATGAACGGGGATGAGCTTCGCCCTGATCACGGACGCCCCCTCAGAGTGGTGGTTCCATCCATGATTGGTGGGAGGTCTGTAAAGTGGTTGAAGAGACTTATACTCACGGAAGGTCCGAGTGAGAATTGGTATCATATCTACGATAACAGAGTTCTGCCAACTATGGTCACACCAGAGATGGCCAAGGAGAACAAGGGCTGGTGGACGGATGAGCGGTACGCGATTTACGATCTTTCTGTTAATTCAGCGATCGCGTATCCCGCGCACGACGAACAACTGTCGCTAGGGGCGGGGGGGGAGGAATACAATATGAGAGGGTACGCCTATGCTGGGGCTGGGAGGAGGATTACTCGTGTTGAAATTTCCCTTGATAAAGGCCGAAGTAAGTTTTCCCCAATACTTACAAAAAATATACATATTTTTCGTCAAATGCTAATATAATTGCCATCTCCGCATTCAAGGCTGGATTCTATCCTCGGTAGAATATCCCGAAGACCTGTACCGATCTGTTCCTGAAGGCGCCACTCTATTTGGAGGTCGTCTCGATTCTGGCTCAAGAGACGCCTGTTTGTGCTGGTGCTTTTGGTCCCTGGATATTCCGATCTCGGGCTTGTTTGATGCGGAGGATATCGTTGTCAGAGCGATGGATGATAGCATGAACACCCAACCTAGAGATACTTATTGGTCGGTATTGGGCATGATGCACAATTCATGGTTCAGGGTCGCAATCCGCAAGGAAAGCGGTCGTATTAGATTTGAACACCCAACCCAACCAGCGCTGCGGAAGGGTGGATGGATGGAAAGGGTGAAAAATGAAGGGGGTGATCTATTGGGCTCCAATTGGGGTGAGAAGGTGATGGGACAGGACTCTGCTGCTGATGCAACTGTCAAAGCCCCCAAAATCCGCGATGTTGTGAAGATGACGAACGATTGCGTCAAGAGGACAATCGAGATCGAGGAATTCAGAAATCATGACAATGCCACCGATTTATGGTTCGCCGTTGGGGGGGAGGTGTACGATGGAAAGCCTTTTCTCGAGGGACATCCGGGAGGAGCGACGAGCATCATATCCGCCGCGGGACAAGATGCCACCGATGAGTTTTTGGGGATCCGTGAGTAATTACTTTTCCAATTCAGAACCAGGGAGCTAACGCTCTATCAGATAGCGAGAGCGCAAAGGCAATGATGCCAAAATACCACGTCGGTACGCTAAGTCCCGCAGCGCGTGAGGCTCTTCTTGAGCAGGCCACATCAGCCGAGAAGGGCCCCTCAGAAACGTTCTTGGATCCTCGAGCATGGTGCCAGGCAACCCTCGTGCAGAAAAAAGTGGTATCATGGGATACTAGAATATTCACCTTCGAACTCGACAATCCTACGCGGACACTGGGTCTTCCCGTCGGGCAGCACCTTCTCATCAAGATACGGGACGAAGTGACGGGAGAGGTTATCACCAGGCCGTACACTCCCGTCTCAAGTAACACGGAAAAGGGCGTTGTTCACGTACTCGTGAAGGTCTACTTCGATACGCCAACTACCCCAGGTGGAAAGATGACACAAGCTATGGATAGAATGCGTAGGTTTCCTCTCTCTCTATTATGTATTCCAACTACTGCTTTGTTTCTAACTCGATAACAGAAATGGGTCATACCGCTTCCTTCAAGGGTCCCGTTGGCAAACTTGTATATCATGGACAGGGTGTTGTCTCTCTCCTTGACAACCGGATCAATGTCACATCGTTCCTTATGATATGTGGTGGAAGTGGAATAACTCCCATTTTCCAAGTTCTCAGGGCAGTTCTTTCCGACCCTAAGGATTCTACAACATGCGTTGTCCTCGACGGCAACAGAACGGAGGAAGATATTCTGTGCCGAGAGGACTTAGATTCGTTCGCAGCGACATACCCGGGAAGGTGTAAGATTGTCCACACTCTTACGGACCCTTCTGAGCGGTGGCAGGGTGAGAGGGGCAGAATTGGGTGGGATCTGATCGAACAGAATTATCCACGGGGCGGCGAGGGTCGTAAACCCTTAACGCTGATATGTGGGCCCGGACCAATGGAGAAGGGCATTAAGGAGCTGCTAACAGCTGCCGGGTGGGGGGAAAGTGATATGGTGTTTTTCTAGATACTTCTGCTTTTTGTCGATGTTAGACATATTCCGTAGATTTGGGCTTACGGTCTCGGTTTTTGACCCTTTCTTGCCAATATTGGATAGCGATTAGAATTGAAGGCGTAATACCCAAATACTTCTATGCACTGCCCCACTCGCTTTTCGCACTAAAATGTGACGATTTAACCGAACTGCCTGTGAAGGAAATTTTAGTGGTGGGGGTTTGGGAATGTTTTGGGGGTCCACATACGGTAATACATAGCAGATCAAAATGTTCCTTTAAAACCCCACGCAATATCTAAGAGACCCCGCAATGTGCCCTCTTTGTTTATTTTTTCCCGCCTTTCTTTTCTTTTTCCTGCGGGGGCCACTAGGAGTGCAGTCCTCTTCCAATCATCCCCAGATCAAATATCATGCCTCCATTCAGCTTCACAAATTATCACCCGATGTCTCAGTGACAGGTGACTTGTCGATACGGTATTCTCGCCTCCTCCCCTCCATACCCCCAAACAACCGCCACCTGAATGGTGCATACAGGCACAACACACTCCAAATGTGAACAACGCGGCACTGGCGCTTTAGATAATAATTTGGCGAGCACTTCTATCGAGGATTCCGCGGTCCAGAGCGCTCTCAACCAAGCCACAGGCACACACACTTATCGCGCCAGCTCTTTCTCAACAAGCCAGGGTGTTCTTATCGGTTTATTTATAATAACCGATCTTGCGGGCCCATCGGACATTTCTTGGAGGAGGCGTTCTTGGGGTTTTTCCGTTATCAACGGGCTGTTGTACCTCGCTTTTGCATCGGCCACTCTTGGCTCGAGTTTCCGCGGGGACCTTCTCCGTAACCAGGATCCGACCAACTCTACCCGCAACACCCTGATTGGTTTGTTCCAACAACATGGTTATCGAATCGTCGGACTAGTCTAGAACTTGCTTTGTCCCGTGCAGTCCCTTTAATTTTACGGCGCTACTCGGATCCTCCGAGATGCGGGAGGGGGAAATCTCTCCTCCCGTAGTTTGCCGTATGATAGTAATTTCACAAAATAACGAGTAATATGAGGAATGGTTTCCCCGGTTAGCGTAAAAACCCTTGGGATCCACTATCTCACGTTCACATGCTAATTTCGTGGCCAAGAGATAGATGTTACTAAGAGGGACTAGTGCTTTTCCGGACAAGGTATAACCTGACTGCTCTGAGTGTTTGTTGGATCTCATTAACTGGATTTCGCGATTCCGTTAACTTGCACGACCAATCCCATCATGGCCCGATGTCGTGATCTGTTGGGGATATTCGATGCCTACTGGTACAGAGATAGTGGGTCCTTAAACCCCCCCCACGGTACTGTACCACAAGCACGCGAGCAGGACTAGTAAAACCTCATGCTAAGACGTCCAGAGCCCCCCTCGTTGGATATGGGGGGAATCGGAGCGGAGAAACTACTTCTCGGCGGCGCTGAGACAAGCAGGAAGAAAAAAAAATACGATAAAACTTACCGTGGGGGGGGGGGGGGCAAAGTCTAGTGGCCAATTTATGAAGTATCCCGGCAGCCTGGCGCCAAGACCGCCAGCTTATGTGCCAATATGTCGGGATGCTTTGTCTGAATCGGCTGGTACTCGAGTGACGCCCTAGCATGGGTTTCCGTTATTCTGGTTCTTGCTGCATTTGAAAAACGGCTACAGTAGACTGATAAGTGCTTGTGTCCCCTACGATAGTCCGATAACTTGCCACAGGAGCGGGATTTTTGATTTTCCTCGGCCAGTGTCAACTGCCTGGCCCAAGCTTCTCTGGCGATTTTTGCTCCAGTAGCGCAGTAGTAATGGAGAATATCTCCCTTGACAAACAAAGTGCTCCCGATTGGCGGTAGCAGCTTTGGCACGGGCGGAAGATATCTAGGAACCCGTTCTTGGTGGGGTCGCCGATTCCGATATCCCCCTCTTCCTCTCATCTGCGTGATTATTCTTATCCTTTTCAAGCGCTCCTGCTATCGCACGGACGGAGGAAAAAAGAATCTGTTATCAGTTTTGCAAATTTGACTCCTTGATAAAGTGCTACGATGGATTATTTCCTTGATATTCTCTGTCTCATACTCCTCGTGTTTTTGGGTTACGGCTGTTGCTCTACGAGAACCCCTGCAACAATGGAGGCTTCTCTGTGCACCAAGAACGAAGACACGATACTGGTGCCTGAGAGGGACGACAAGCCATTAATTGCCAACGAAGATGGCCCAACTGTAGCGAATGGCACCGATGGAACGCCGAACCTCATGACAGATAGTGCGAACGGCGTGGCTCCACTATTGCCCCGAAGAAAGCGAATAGTGGTTGTTGGCCTGGGCATGGTAGCAATTGCATTCATGTATTCCTTCCTCCCGATAAACAATCCGTTCCTACTAGCTAATTCATTGCGTCAGTGAAAAGATCTTGAAGCTTGATGCCGAGAACAAACAGTACGAGATCGTGGTCATTGGTGAAGAGTCGCATGTGGCATACAACCGTGTGGGATTGACTTCATTTTTCGAACACCGAAAAGTTGAGGACCTTTACTTGAATCCAAAAGAATGGGTATGCAGACGTTACTTCACAGTGCTGGGGAGGGATATGAACTAACCGAAACATCAGTATGAGTCAAATTCGGATGTTCTAAACCACAGAATCAACACCAAAGTCACAGCCATCGATCCTGTATCGAAATCGATAGCAACATCTGCCGGCTACAATGTAAGCTACGATATCCTAGTGTTAGCAACCGGCTCGGACGCGGTTGTCCCATCGAATACACCCGGGCATGACAGCGAGGGAGTGTTTGTTTATCGGAATATCGAGGATCTGGAGAAGTTGATATCGTTCTCCGCTGTGGTAAGCGGATCAACAGGTTGTGTAGTAGGTGGTGGGTTGCTTGGACTTGAGGCGGCGAAGGCGATGATGGACCTCGAGCAGTTTGGGTCTGTCAAACTAATTGACAAGAACCCTTGGGTTTTGTCGAGACAGCTTGATCAAGACGCGGGGAAATTGGTGCTTGAGAAGGTTGCAGAGCTGGGACTTGACGTACTGAGTTGCAGAAAGATTAAGACGATCAATTCCAACGAGAATAATCAGACCGAGAGTGTCACATTTGAGGATGGAGAAACTATGAAAACCACATGTATATGCTTTGCTGTAAGTTCTTGTATGCTCATGGGATGGCAATTGTTGCTAACCGTTGTACAGATCGGTATTAAACCCAGAGACGAGCTCGCCGATAGTGCCGGGATCAGGACTGCCGGTCGCGGGGGTTTCATTATTAACAAAGAGTATGACCTCCATTTTAAGTCTTTATTTCTCGGGCTAGTCCGTTCTTACCATGAATGGTCAACAGTGTCGAAACGACCGTCCCCGGAATTTATGCGATCGGAGAATGTGCTTCATGGGAAAACCAAACCTTTGGTTTGATTGCTCCCGGGGTCGAGATGGCAGATGTCCTTGCATTCAACCTCTGCAAATCAACATTGCATGGCCACTCAGAGGCGCCAAAGGCCTTTAGACGCCCTGATCTTTCAACCAAATTGAAGTTGCTTGGCGTCAACGTCGCTTCCTTTGGTGACTTCTTCGCTGACCGGGATGGACCTAGAGAGTTGCCCGGTCGCTCCCCAAGTCAGGAGAGAAGAGGAAGAGAAGTCAAGGCGCTCAGTTATAGAGACCCCTTCCAAGCCGTTTATAAAAAGTACATCTTTACATCAGATGGAAAATACCTACTTGGCGGCATGATTATCGGGGACACGGCAGACTACATTAAACTTGTAGGAATGGTCAAGTCTAAGAAAGCGTTGGAAATTCCGCCCTCGCAATTAATCTTGGGCGCAAAAACCGAGGGAGACGAGAACCCGGATGACTTGTGGGTCCCCTTTCCCGGGTTGGCTCTACCGGAGGCTTGCTAAAGTGATGCTAGGGACGACGATACCCAGATTTGCTCATGCCACAACGTAACGAAAGGAGATATCAGCAAAGTGGTCAAAGACGGCAGCTGCAAGAGCTTGGGGGATGTAAAGTCTTGCACAAAAGCCGGCACTGGATGTGCCGGCTGCGTGCCACTCGTTCAGTCAATCTTCAATGCCGAGATGAAGGCTATGGGAGCCGAAGTCTCAAATCATCGTTCGTCACCCACTTTGCCCCGCTGTACCGCCGCTAACCCTTCAAAGTTTGTCCACACTTCGCCTACTCTCGTGTTGACCTTTTCAATATCGTCAAAGTGAAGGTTAGTTCTTCCAGACGCTGTCTGAGGGTGTGCTGACATCCGCAGGAAATAAAAACCTTTCCCGAAGTAATGCGCGAGTGTGGCAAAGACCCCGAATCACTTGGCTGCGAGGTATGCAAGCCGACTCTGGGGTCTATATTCTCTTCCCTTTTCAACCAGCACATAATGGATAAACCCCTGCACATGCTCCAAGAGACAAACGATAGATTCCTTGCAAATATTCAACGAAACGGGACCTTCTCGGTTGTTCCCCGAATGGCGGGAGGGGAGATTACGCCTGATAAACTCATCGCTATCGGTACAGTAGCGAAGAAATACAATTTATACTGCAAGGTTACCGGTGGGCAGAGAATTGATATGTTCGGTGCACGAAAACAAGACTTGGTGGCTATCTGGACGGAGCTTGTGGAGGCGGGGATGGAGAGTGGACATGCCTATGCTAAGAGTTTGAGAACAATCAAGGTTTGCTTTTCATTGACTTTAATCCTCGAGACTTGCTAACGATGTTATCCTAGAGCTGTGTAGGGACCACATGGTGCCGGTTCGGTGTCGGTGACAGTGTTGGCATGGCAATCAGGCTGGAAGAGCGATATAAAAGTATTCGCGCACCGCATAAAATCAAATCTGGTGTTTCGGGATGTATCCGGGAGTGCGCAGAAGCCCAGAACAAAGAGTAGCTTTCTTCCCCCCAAAATGCCTGTTATCATATAGGCTAACCTCCGACGCTAGCTTCGGTCTTATTGCCACCGAGACTGGATACAACATCTTTGTTGCCGGAAACGGGGGCTCCAAGCCCCGTCATTCGGAACTCTTAATAAAGGACTGTCCCGTGGATAGAGTTATCCCGGTCCTAGACCGCTACCTAATGTTCTACATCCGTACCGCAGATAGACTCCAGAGAACAGCCCGTTGGATGGAAAACCTCCCGGGGGGGATCAAATACCTGAAGGAAGTAATCCTGGACGACAAGCTTGGGATTTGCGACCAGCTCGAGAAGGAAATGCAGGACCTAGTGAAGTCCTACTTCTGCGAATGGACGGAGGTTGTCAAAGACACAGAGCGGCGAAAGTATGCACTTGCCCCTACCCTCATTTCTGATCAGGGGTACTAACACACTACTACTAGACAATTCCAACAATTCGCCAACACCTCCGACGCCAGCGAGACCGTAGAAATCATCAGCGAGCGCTCCCAATCCAGGCCAACATATTGGCCCAAAGAAAGTGTAAAATACGATTTCAAAAACCACCGCTGGTCAAATCTAGCCTGGCAGCCCATAATCGAAGCCTCATACTTCTCCAACGCAAACTCCTCAACACCCGTAACTGCCGCGATCAAGCGGGGCGATACCCAGCTCGCCATCTTCAAAGTGAGGGGTAAATACTACGCCACGCAGCAGATGTGTCCTCACAAACGGGCCTTCGTGCTCTCGGACGGCCTGATAGGCGAAGACCCAGACGACGGCACGGAAGAGGGCAAGAAGAAGAGGAAAATGTGGGTCAGTTGTCCTTACCACAAGAGGAACTACACACTCGAAGGCAAGACTCCCGGCGGGTGTGCGAACGATGAGGAAATCAGTATTGCGACGTTTGATGTGGAGGAGAGAAGCGATGGGTGGGTCTACTTGAAGTTGCCGAGCGTGGCAGAGTTGGACGCTTTGCTAGGGACTGAGAGGTGGAAGGTAAAGAAGGAGGAGTCGGAGGACCCCTTCAAGGAGATGGATAAAAAAATTGGTAACAAGGGACGGAAGGCCGTCAAGCCCACCGAGGTCGTAGATGGGAATGGAAGTCTAGCGGAAAAGAAGATCAATGGGCTAGAGTGGTAGAATGGGCTTGCGGTCATCTTTTGTGTTGTACATATATATGGTTTTGATTTTCGGAGTTTTGTAGAACGATCCCCTGGGAAGCATGCGCCCCCCTTTATTTTTGATCTGCCCTCTTTAGCATCAACGCACTCCCATATTTTCTTTCGGCAGTCCTACTTTATGTGAAAACACATCACAACCTCTTTGTATCCCCTGGACCAGAGACCCACCTGTGTGAGGAGGTACCTGGTGTCAGTATCCACGCCAACTACCGTATCTCGAATGGTCACCTCCGAAGATCCCACTTAATTCATCTTCTACCTCTCACCCGGTTTACTGGAGTAGGCTGTTCCGATACGATAAATATCATTTCACCCCAGTGACAAAACTTCGGCTGTTCTCTCATTTCGCGGGAATAGTTCACCGCACACCCAAAAAAACAGAAAAAAACATGGCATGATAACAATGTCGAATAATCCAATCATATCCCGACCCCCATCCGACACGAAATCATCACATGCTCTAAAGGGCGCCCGGACAATCGGATTATGGCGCTTGACAGGGATTCAAACTACAGCCGATAACGGGGCAAGAAAGCCACACTCAGTGCCAGCCACAGATATGTCCGCATGATTGTGAACATAACTGACATCTTGAACCAGGGGATTCCTAACTTGGACACTTTCTCAACGCTATGCGGTAGTGATTCCAACGAGCGGGCGTCTAGACTATCGGTACAGCATTCGAGTATGGTGTGAAGCGCCGCGAGAGAGAGACTCGTTGCGGTGGCCATAGCCATAGCAGATGGCTAGAGCAGAACAATTACCGTCCCGCCAGTTCCTCGGATGCAGCATCCTGTAGAAGAAATCAAGGTTGACGACATGTACGGCATTGGATGTGCGCTGTTTCCTTAATCAACCTTTGTTTATCTAGCGCTAATCTACTATTCTGTACGAGTACCCAGGTACACTCCTGGAAACCCCCTTCCCTCACCCCATACTAGCGATTCGAGCACTCCGGAACGAAACCGGGAATAGGCGCGCCACCGAGGTACGAGGTATTTCCTCAAGTACCGGTATCATACTTGTACCCATCACGGCACATATCTCCAGAAACAAAAGCGATACTGGTGTTGTTGCGAATCATTTCCCCGGTTGAGTGCGTCCACGCACCCCCCCCCCCCCCATAGAGCAGGGCATCGGCTCCAAGTATGTAACCACCACTGAGCACTACACCGTGCTGCACGAGTATGAAATACGCAGGAAGTTCTCGGCGGTCGGGTCCAGAGATGAGATCCTGGGTGGGAAGATCTCGGTACGATATCATACACAAACCACCAAATTAATATACGGTACCCGTATATTTCCGATTACCGTAGCAACCACTAATATTATAGGTGGACTAACTTATCCCTTTTTGAGGGAGGGGCACCTGAAGATGTTTGTCTTCTTGCATTTTGCGGGACAGCATCTTTAGTCTGGTACCAGCCAGTCTCGGATTTTCCGTCAAGATTTCAGTATTTCCATCATACTGCACCCCAATATTCTACATCAATGAATGTGCGGTAATGTGTGGGAGCGGCGGGCATCGTTGAGAATTTATCCGTGTAAACTCTACAAAAATAAATGGGTGGATGAATAGAAAATTAGCGATAGCAAGCTTAAACACTATTATTATTTTTAACCTTGACAAATAGCTATACCTGGCCATTCATAAAGTATTCGGACTCTTTGGTGTTATTAACGCCTATATGGACGCCAAGCGTCCGAATACTTTATATGCGGCCAAGTATATACGGCTACAGTGCAATAGCCTGTGTCACTCAAAATCTGTTTGAGAATTTCCCCTTTCGAGAAAATTCAAGGTTGGAATCCTTTCAAAATGCGTTGAGGAAATTCTTACTAGTATATACAAGTATCATACCGCACCACCCCCTGTTACCCGGGGGGGGGGGGGGTTTAGGGGTTTTAGGCCATACCTTAGGGCGCATGCCGTGAATTTTCCTATAGTTAGCTATAAATAAACAGCGGATTTAACAAAAGAAAGATTTAAAACAAAATTCTGTTATCCAGGTCTTCACCAGGCAAATGAAAATTAGAAATACACAAGCACTTATCCTAAATTGGATTAGAATAATACTTCAGCTAGCCTTATTTGCAATGATATTCCAATCTCTACTACTCTAGAATCTGTGTTGGTAAATGCAGCCAGCATGATGATAAGATAGCTGTGTCTTATTACTGTTTATTATTATTCTTCTTCTTTTGTACCTCTTAGAATGGTAACTATAAGACCAACCTTGAAGACACACTCTATAGATGCAGTCTGTATATAAGCCTGAGCTCAAGGCCGTGATCACCTAATCACCATAATTTCACAATAGAATCATATATGGCTGGGGTCAAAAGCGAGGCCACTTAGTGACCGAGTTTATAGTTCTAGAGAACCAGTCAAGTGTGGTTTAAGAACTTATAGCTGGGAACAGAAAATTGATTTGCCTCTTTTTCTCATCTACTAACTTACCAGATAGTAGTCAGTATTGAAGAGATACAGTACTGAAGATCTACATTTGCAGAAGCCTCTGTTTACTGAAAAATTTCAGAAAGTATAATTCAGGATTAGTGGAAGTGACAAGATAGAATTTTACAGTAAAAAAAATACAATCAACAATTATCTACAAGCTAAAAGTGCAGTTGTTTAAAGATAGAGAAGGAGCTGTTTGCTACCTTTATCAAGTACTGATAGACTAGGTAACTAGTTAGATAAGAATTGGTTTCAACAAACTCCTATCTAGCATTATTTAAAAAAAATTATCCTACTTGTAAGTTCTCTTTGTTTTTGTTTTTTCCAACAGTCCGAGGCTGGTTCAATGACTTTTTGCACTAGTAGAATATTTCTTGCTGAGCCTTAATCCAAAAAGCCTTCAAATTTCCTGATAAATACCACTGCCCAGCGGCAAACCAGCCCCAACTTAACAGGAGGAACTTACACTTGCGAAACTCTCCCGAGACCAGCGGGACTACAGGCGACACGGGCCGCCTTCACCCAAGCATCACATCTAGGGCTAACCTACTACAAGCCGCCACCTCCCCCCCCCAAAAAAAAAAAAATCCAAGACCTTGCATAGATATCTTCAATTTCCTCTCTCTGGGGATTAACTACATATATTTTAGAAAGCCCTTGTCACAAAAATAAGTCTCAATCTGTAACCACTAGAATTGAGGTTTATCGTACCTTCACAACACCGCTCTAGAAAAACGCTTTTATCCTTATTTCTATCTTGGTATGGTAACGGGAAGATCTTCGAATCGGCATCCCACTCGAATAAAATTAACCAGCAGAGTAGAAGGAGAAAGGGAGGGGGGGTAGAAGCGATAGGACCAGTGTATGAAATTGTTCTTACCTGGGTGCCAAACTCCTGGTTGATATCGATCAATGCGTAACGCCGCTTGTTCCCACTATTCGCTTCACTCGGATTGCTACTTGTATCATACCCTTGGTAAAAGATCTGCGGTTAACCAGAGCCATTAACCGCCCTAAAAGCTGAGGAAATATGGGCCGCGCAGATTAAAGGATAATCATGGACTTCCCCAACCCCCTCCCAGGGTGGTATGAGAATTTAATCTATGTTATTATACTAGGCCACAGCTGTTACGCAGTGAGTTTGAAAACCAGTCAGTACCGTACTCAGACACCACACATTATGAGCCGCCACGACTAGATTACTCGCACCATAAGCCACTTCCAGCCTGTCCCTAGTTCGGTCGAGTGATATTTTATGAGCTCAATCTTGCCCGGCGTGCAGATGTAGGGAGAGAACTGCAACTCTGACATCCGAGAGGTGGCCGATACCAGAGTGGTACGGGGAGGAGGAAAAAAAGGTCCAATACAGAGAACTCCAGATCTAAGAGATCTGATAGTTAGTAGGCCTCTCCCATATACCCTGGTATGTTTGGATACTTTGACTGCGTTTTCTTTTCATGTTTTTACCTCCATCTACTGAAAGGTATTGTCCCTACGCAGCGTACCAAAACCTCACTAGGCTCTTTGGAGGGAAAGATCCCGCACAATGCGAAATCTGAACAAACCCGTAGCCCGAGGGGGGCGTCGTTAGCGATCGACCTTGGAAAGTTTATGGGCTTCTTGGCCCACCGCATCACTGCTCACGCACCAGGAGGTGTGCCAGTATAATGTGAAGCATCATAAGAGGTGGGGGCACTCACATCCATGGAAACAGCTTATGAAAGGGGTCAATACCCTCCGGTGGGTGATGAGAGAGCAGCCAAGTCACACCAGAAACACAGCGGAGTGGAGTTCAAGCTATCGAACCCCTACAGATCCCTCGATAATGGACATTCAGGACAACGAAAAGGTATTCGTCTCGTATAGAATATGCATAGCACGATTTCCGACGGACTTTTATCCTGTATTTATATACGAAGCTGGGGGGATTCGGAGTCGTCAAGGTCGGCCGAAATGTGCACCGATTCGCACAGCGTCTTTTACCTGAACGAACCATAGTACTGTCTTGTCCCCAGACACCCGAGTTGGTGGGGACAAAAAAATGGCAAAGACCATCTTCGCCTCTAACCCAGGACAAATTTTTTTTTTTCCTCTCCCATTCTCCCTCCATGGTTGTTTCAACAAAATCCTGTTGAATTCTGTTGCCCTTAATTTACACAGTATCCCACTGCTCGCACCAAAACATGTTTCCGAGTGATGACTTGTGCACTTATCTATTCGCAGAGCCTTCTCCACAGCTCACACCCCACTGCCACTCAGAGAAGGCATGATTACCCACCAGCACAATCTCCCCACCCCTCTGATGTGTGGTATCATATCATATCATAACGGCAAAAAAAAAAAAAAAAATCCATAATACTAACCCAGACCTTACGGGATCATCAAGACCCATACCATTCGTACCGGCTCCCGCATCGTAATCCAAGCACAATACGACCGCCCGTCAAGCCCACGCACACCCAATCACCATTTCCTCTCCTCACGCCTTGGGAAAAAGCGGAAAAAACCCTAACCTGCCGTAACAGCATGCATCCGGCGTCACCTTGTTTTTTCCAAACAACGGTGTGTGCTAAATTATCATAATAATCACACCACTCATCCATAACCTCTCACGCGCAGTTCAACGGTGCTGTAGGCCTTACAGA